TGGGGACACCGGCCCGCAACGGCCCGCTCGGTGGCGGTTTCTTACAGTTTTTGTAGTCCGGTCTCATTTCCGTTAAACATCAGCCCAGATGAGGAGGTGGAGGAGGCTACAGCGCGGCCTACTGTCTCCTTGAGTCCCAGTGTGCACCAGGGCTGCCACCACCACGCGCAACACCGAGTTTTGCAGTAAAAGAAAATAAAGTCTTACTTGCACAGAACTGTCCCTACATAGGATTTAAATAGCACCAGAAAGCAAACAAAAGCTAAATCAACCTTTTTATAAACATTCTTGATTTGTGAAGAGTTTGGAATTATCAAAGCTTGACTGGGAGCACCTAACTGAACCTCTGAAAACCCCTGGTTCATGGCAGCCTACAATAAAAGACCCCAGCTGCAGAGAGATGTGTTCATCTCGGCTGGTACTAACGAGGGAAGAGGAGGAGGAAGGGAACCCCTTCCTCTCCCGAGGAGCTCCCTCCTATTGCTGCTTGTAGTGGCCTGGCTGCCATGACCCATGCTCAAAACACGTCCCATCATAAGCCTCCATTAGAATTTTTTAGAACTTTTACAGGAAATTCCAGAGTTTGAAGCATGCTGGAGGTCAGCAGCGGTCAGCTGCTAGAATCAGAAAGTCTATTTTCATTAAAATTTAATTAAGAAAAAGTGGCCACAACCCAACAGTTCCCGATAGATGCTTTAACTCATTCTCCTTTTAAAGCCTTCCACAGCAGTGCCTGGGACTTCTCCAACTGTTAGTCCTTGTTATGGACTCCCTGACTGGATTTATGAAATTCGGGGAGCTGCTCCCATAGAGAGTGGCCTCTCACCATGAGGAAGAAAGATTGTTACTTCAAAATTCTGAACACACAATTAGAGTAATACAGAATAATCACGACAGGGAGAATGCATGAGTGTGTGAAATCTATATGGCATTAAATTGGGGAAAAAATAAGTGATTCAACTAAACACTTTGATTTAATGGGTGGCAAACCTTTGAAGGTGAAATACCTTAACTGTTTTAAATATATTGGAGAGTTAAAAAATACAGGCAGCTCTGCAGAATCTGCAGACAAAAATGTCAAGATGGAAAAAGATC